CAATCATACTAAAGAAAAAACAGATTAAGGAAACATCAAATATTACTGTGCAATAAGCACTACTAGCTCATCCTTCCTTTTACTTATTTAAAATCATAAACACTTTTGAAATCATAATCAGTAGAGCTAAATCTTGCTCAACCTCCCCTTTATGAAATGTCCATCTATATGTAGAATAAAGTCTACTCAGCAGAAAGGTAATTTCCTTCATTTAATACAGTTAAATAAAAGGAATAAAATGGTTCACTATTACATTAGAACTGATCAATTTTTTAAAATCCTGTGGTACATAAAACAATGTTAACACCAAAATTACAAATGTTAACATCCATTATTTTTACCATCAATTACAAAGATCAGGTCACTTGGATCCAAGTCTAGGGCAAAGCCTTTCCTCCCAGAGTTAATACCATATTATGAATACTATGCATTTTCTTTTTGTAGGTTATCTGCCAATTAGACTAAGTTATTATAGTAATTTGAAGTAAAAATTCCAGAGTTTTACATAAGGAAGTATGATTTATTTTTAGCATCATAGGAACTAAAACATTTAAAACCCATAATGCTTTTCAAGATTCATATTTAAGACCTCTGGAAAAAAAGAAGTGTCATTTTTAATCATAGTTACATTATTTGATCAATAAAAAAGAAATAAAAAAATACTAAAAGGCTTGATAGCAAGGATACATCACAATTCCACAAAATACCAAATCTGATTTTTCAGATTCTATAACTCAATTTAAAAATATATAATTTTCAAGAAATTTAAGGGGCAAAAAAAAAATCAAATAAAATATGATCTTCCTTTCTTCCTCAATAAATAAAAAGCTACCCCTTCCCAATCCTACCCTCATAAAGAATATTTTCCTAGATAACAATCTGTTCCATACAAATACTTAAGACCCCCTTACTCTAATGTAGACAGAGTAAAAAATGGATTTAGACACATATTGAAACTAAACCAGTGGCCATTAAAAATGCATTACTTGTAACATCCAGCAACAAAAATTCAGTAAAAATATCTACTCTTAAGGCTGAAAATAAGGGACATAGTTTTATTATTTATGTCTGTTGGCAGTATTATTAGATAGCCTAAAAATATTTATTAGATTCTTAGAAGAGAAGAATTTACTAACCTAAAAATAAAGTCTTAGTAAACAAGCATTTATTAAGTGCTTACTATATACCAGGGATCCAAAGAAAAGCAACATTATTATATCTGCCCTCAAGGAGCTCTAAAAATAATAACAATACTTAAAAAGCTTGACATTGTGTTTGAAAAGTATATTAAGAACTGCCTTAAACTCCATCCCCAAGATCTGGGTGAGAAAAACTAATTTTAAGAATGTTCCAGAAAGAAATCAGAAAACACGCAGGCAGACACCACACACTGGAAGTTGTACCATTTGTATAACAGAATTAAATATCATGCATTTATAAAAAATAAAATAATAACATTACAGCTAAGCTGTTAAATTTCAGTACTTATTTTTTTTTAAGGCAGCTGGCTTTACTAACCACACCATCGGGTTCAAAAATTTTTTAATTTTTATCAGTATACTTTAACTACTTTTAAAGATTTACCCCAGAAAACATCAAGAATGATTAACCATTCTAAAACATAAACAATACAGAAGGGTTAGGAACTAAATATCATGCAGGAGAATAAAAAGTTTAGCACACAAAAATAACATTCATATTTATAGATGGCAAAAATTTAAAAATTAAGCCATATCTTCTATTGGAACCTGAACTGAGACAAGTTCAAACCATATGGGAAATACTGCATATATCACTCATGAATATTTACCTAACAAAAATGCCTAACACTTGAACTGCTGGCAGGGTTTGCTAAAGATACCCTTAAACCAGTACAGAGGCATATGTAATTCAGTGAGGTGACTGATCCATATTGGCAGAATTAACTTACCAAAACTTTTCTATTTAAAAATTTACAAGGTAGTTGCTAGGGTCAATTGTCATGGTTTGGCGCTCTTCTTAACTATGGCAAATTCTTTAACAATTCATACATTTAGTAGGAGGGGTGCTGAGATGGGTAAAGGCTAGACAAACAAGTCTGTGCTGGCTAAACCAAAAGTTTCGTGGCTGTTTGTGAGCCTCAGCTCTAGGGATTCTTCTTCAACAATAAGAATTTCTATCTGTAGAGTCCTTCATAAATGTCTCTCATAATGTAGAAATTACTCTACTCTTCAAAGAATTTACTAGTTCAATGCACGAAAAGCACTAAAACAATTCTAAAACAATTACATAAGATAAATTTTTAACTTTTTGACTGCAAGAAAATCATTTCACTAACCTAGAAATAAACCTAAATTAATTTTAATGGAAAAAGACAAAAAACTAGAAGGCTTACATAATGCCTCTCTGATTGGAAATCAACCCACTGCCCAATACAGAACCAAGGAAAGTTAAAGTCCTTCACAAAAACACAAAAGATGGAAAAACATAGCTTCCTGGAATATAAACAATGTAAAAAGTGATAACTTAGGAAGAAGTATCACAATTACACTAGGATGGAAGTAAAAATCAACTGGCGCCATTTTTTACAAAACACAGAATAAAAACTATTGGCCCCCTCAAAAGAGGTTAGATTTTTTTTTCCTGTGCCAAATAGCAGCTTTACCCTCTAGCTGAAGTACCAACACAGGAAAACTGGAATCAGCAGGTTTCACACTTCGGTCCACATCAAACATACTTTTTTTTCCATCTTCATTCCCAAGGCTTTCTACTATTTAATATCTTTTCTTATCTCATGCTTGAAGCCCTTGCTCGCAGACATCTTCTATCCAAGCATCCACTCCTTTCCCTCATTCCCTTTTTCCACTTCCAACTCCTCACATTCTTCCAAACCACACCCTAAGTTTGGAACAGTCTATTCTTTCCCATCTGCCAGATTACTTTTCTTTCTATAGCTTCTCAAAATTTATCCAAAGGAATCTTTTTAGGCTCTGCCTAAGGCTTCTGTTCTAACAATCTAATCTCAACCACCGACAGAACCTTGGGACTCCCCAGCAGTCCTGCGTTTCATCTTTGGGTCTTACCTGTTTTAAAGTTGACTCAATTCACACTCCATAAAGACCTACAATGGTCAGGACTCATGTTAAGTGTTGCCATGAGTATCTCATTATGTGCTGTGGTACTTGGCTATCAGCAGTGGTGTTTTCTAAAAGTTTAGTAACAGTACATACTTATTAACTGGGAACTGAATAAAGTATTCATTAGCTGATAGAGCTTTCATGTGGAAAAGTAAAACTGATGCTCCGTTTCAAAAAGAATCTACTATGTGAAAAAAAAATCACAAAACCCACTAAACTTGGCTGCATTTTTTTGAGTACAGTATAAATCTGATAAAACTGATATAATTCTCATTATTAATATTTTTTGAAAGTATGAGAAACGACGGAAGAACAATAGCTCACTGAACGGTTTTCTAATTATTTGATACAGTAGCTATTCAAAATTAACTATCCGGTCAGTGAACATTTGAAAAACTGCAGGAGATAGAGGATTAAAAGTTAAAAACACTCGGCGCCACTACACCTCCCACCTTAATCGAGGCCTCACATTAAATACCTTTCTAACGCTCTAAGCAGGCTGCAAAGGGGATGGGAGACAAGGGAGGGATGGGGGCGGGGAACTGCTCCTCCCTGGATCTCCCCCCCGGCTCGTGCCAATCAAGGCGTCAAAACGAAGCTTGGGCAGCTGCTCGGAGGGGGCAGGCGGCACATGCACCCAAACTGCCGAAGCAGCAGAACGGCGAGGCGAGGCGAGGCGAGGCGAGGCGTGGCGGTCGGTGGGGAAGCAAGGTCGTTCTCTCCCGAGAAGCTCCCGGTGGAGGGGGGAAGCAAGCGAGGGGGAGGGGAGTTCTAGCCTGGGATCCCCTCCCCCAATGCGTAGCGCGCCCCCCGCCCCACGGGGAAGTCAGCCTGAGAAAGAAGACGGGTACGGTGGGGGAGGGGAAGGCGAAGGGAACAAGGAAATGTGGGGGGGGGGCGGGGAGAGGGGTGGGAGGGAGGAAGAAAGAGGAAAGAAAGGGAGGGCGCCTGAAAGAAAGGGAGGAAAGGAGGGAAGGACGAAGAAAGAAAGGGCCCCTAGCTTGGCCCCCTCCAGCCCGCTTCAGCGATCTCCCCCTCCGCCCCAAAGTCACCCCTCTCCTCGGCGGGAGTTGCTTCCAATCCTGTTCCCTCCCTCCCACTCCTGGTGATGAATGAAATCGACCTACGGGGAACAAATGGTACGACCCGCTCCCCACCCCCCACCCAGCCATGAGGGGGGGGGAAGGAGAGTGCCGTCCACTTCCCGCCGTCCCGCACACGCCTCCCTCAGTTCCTCCTCCCCACGGGGGGCAGGATTCGTGAGCAGATCCATGAGCTCGCCTCCCGCCCCACCCCCCCCTCCTCCGCCCCCTCCAGGGGGTGTGTGAACTAAGCAAGCGGAACAGCCACGTTGGAAATGAATTGGCCTACCGGACCTCCCTGCGGGAGAGTAAATGGTTCAACCCGAAAGACATTCCGTGCCCCCCCACTCCTTTCCGGACCCCAATTCTTCCCGCCGCCCCCCCCCCACAGCGTGTGAATGGACCAACCCCGCCCCTTCTCCAGGCACACGGAGACCGATCCATTCACACTTTCTAGGGGAAACCCGGGACGCGGGCTGCACCATCTGCCCCCTCTGGGAGGGGAGGGACCGCTCGGGCTACACCATTCATGCACCCCATTTAGGGAGATGGAATTCCACGGCCCCGAATCCTCAGCATCTCCCGCCATTTCCCTTCCGCGTTCCCCGGATGTAACTCGTTCCCCGCGGCGGTTAAACGGGCCCAGGCGGTGGCTACTCCCTTCAACGAGGGGGGGTGGGGGTGGGGGAAATCAAGTATCGGTGCAGCCCGAGTCGCCCAGAGTTCTCAGAGACTCTATCGTGCTTTCTCCTCCTCCTGGTGGGAGGAGTGCACAAGTCCGTCTCCTTCGCTTTGCACTCACCATCACTTCCAGCTTAGTGACCGCCGCCTCCATGTTGAATAGTTGACATTCCTCAGGCGGCGGCGGCGGCAGTGGTTAAGCCCTCGAACCCAAACGATGCTAGCACGGAGCGTCCCCATTGGACAGCTGTCACTCAGCGCGGCGCATCCATTGGCTTTCCCGCGTTTCCTCTGCCCGCCCATTGGAGCCTGGGTCCCTCCCTTCAGAATGAAACAGGCCTTCTTGTTGGGCAAAGGTACAAAACGCCGCATCAGGATTGGGTCCCTTCTGTATTTTTTCTATTGGTTGTTCTTACTTTCTACTTTCAATCTTATTGCAGAATTTCAGCAGAATCAAGCTTCTGAGTGGTAGACTCGGAAGAAGCCCCAACCAATCAAACAAGAGCTTCCATAAGCCGCTTTGTGAAGGTGGGGACACCCCCCTACAACCTTATTCGTACAAAAAGCGCCACTACTTCGATTGGCCAGGGAGTAGAGATGCATCATCCAATCACGAAATATCTTCTCTTCTTTCCCCACCAGGAGGGTTAATTGAGTAGAAATGATGGCTCTGATTGGCCCGTCTGTGCCAAGGGTTTAATTTTGAATTCTCTTAGATGCTTCAGCCTGAGAGGACCTTGCACAGACTCTGTTTACCTCCCGGGGCTCTTATACTAGTAAGTGCAGGAACATCTTCCCTTGTTTTTCCCGGGACCGAGGCGCTAGGTGCTGCTTTGCATCTTTTCCATGCTTGCAAGAGGGAGGCTAGTTTGGGTGGCCGGGAAGGGAGAGGAGGGATGGATTGCTGGAGACAGAATTTGCAGACATGAATAGAAGGATTTGTCTTTCCCTTCTACTGTCACCTCTCTACGCGTGCGTCCACGATACAAATTATTTGGGACTATTCAGTTTCTCTTTGCACAATCACAGCAAAATAAGGTACCTGTCTCATACACTTTGCTGTATCCTGTGCAATTCAGGCCACAGAGGTGCCTCCCGTGTGCGTACTGGCGAGCTAAGGAAAAGACTGACACACCCTAGAGTTAGAGAACAATGCAACACAATATAAAAGATTAAATTAAATATAACTGAAAGACAAAATTAATTGTAGGTAGTGAAAGGGGGCTTTATCTGATAAGCACTGTGTGCTTCAGAGGAATGAGTAGCAGAGCGAAAGTAGTTTTAGTACATTTTTTTGTTTCGACCCGACCTGTGATTTCATCCGTTCAGGGTACCGATTTCCTTCCATTAGTGCAAATCTATAACTTCTACTTTCAGAGTTATATGTGGGACTGGGAGATTGTGACTTCCCATAGTAGCATAACCGGTATGTGTATTCAAGGTAAGACTCAACCTAGGTTTTCCTAATTCCAAGGGGACCTTTTATCTGATCATACTGCCTTTCAGTAATATTAACAATATATTGTATGATACACAGATTAGGCGCCGGTATCTTTCTTAAAGTACTTTGGACTCTTCCTTTGCTTTTATCACATTTCTCCTGTCATAGTTATCTATCCCTAATTTCCAGGGTGGCCTTCTATGGGATCATTCTATCTCTCAGTGGTATTAGCAATGTAGTGTATGATACACAGATTTGAGTGCCTATATCCCTAATTCTTATAGCACTTTTAGACTCTTCCTTTGCTCTTATTACATTTCACCTGTCATAGTTATTTATACGTCTTATTTATTCCCTACTAATGTGTTAGCTTTTTGAAGGCAGCTTGTTTTGTCTTGATCTTGAAAGATGTGCCTAGCATAAAATCTTGTACACACTTCAATCCCTAAGGTGGAGGTGGGTTCTTAATCTGTTGTCATGGACTCCTTTGGCACTCTGGTGATGACTATAGATACTTGCCTTGATAATTGAAGGAAATGCTAAATTTCAGTTAGTGGTTAATGAAAATAAAGATGTCATTTTCTTCCCCATCTAAGTTCATAGATCCCCTGAAATCTCTCTATGGACCCCTTTGGTTATCTTTGGACTGTTAGAATGAATACTCCCTCTACTACAGATTACAATCTTTCTGACTTAGTTTTGGGTAGAGATACTTTGAATAAACACTTTCAAGATATCACAGTATCAATCAATCAACAAGCATTTGTTAATTGCCTATTATGGGCCAGGCACAGTGCTGAGTGCTAGGGATGCAAAGCCAAAAATGAAAGTGTTTCTCCACAAGGAAATCACATCCTTTTAAAAAAGGGATGTACTCAGGTTTCTAATTTAATTCTACAAACATTTAAGACCCTGCTGCTTGCAGAACATAGGTTAGAATCTGGGAGAGATATAAAGTTTAGATAAAACCAGATGCTTTCTGTTATGGTGGAAAGAATACCATTAACCCTACTCTGACCACACTTTCCTCCATCTCCAACCTCAACTCTGCATTGTCTTCTGCCCTTCAATCCTTTGCCCTCTTTTTAACCACAGCCTTAGATTACTCTTCCAACCTTCTACCTTCTCTGCTCCTATTCGAAGTCATGGAATGAACCTAGAGGAAGTCCCACAAACTTGCTGAGTATATTACAAATTTAAATTATCCAGACTCAAGTGAGCTTTTACTGCAGCTAGGCTGTCCCTTTACTTTTCTTTAATTGATTCCTTATCTCACTCCCCCAGAAGCTATTCTAAACTTCTCTTTTCAAAGCCTCCCACCTTTTCCTCCCTCTTTTCTCTCAATTAAGGACCTTGCCTCTTTACTGAAAAAATTGAGGCCATTTGACATTAGCTTCTCTCATTCTCCTAATTTCATATTTCCTTGACATCTCTCACTTTCTCTTCCTTTCGGCCCATCTGGCAAAGAGGTAACTCTTTCCCTTGACTAGGTCAACCGCTCTATGTGTGCACTTGATTCCATCCTCTACCATCTTCTCCAGCAGATTACATCCTTAACTTCTCTCAAACTTCTATCAACTGATTGCCTCACTATTGTCCTCAAATATACCCAAACCTTTCCCAACCTTAAAAAACCTTTATTAGACCTTTGTTGTTGTTCATTTGTTTCAGTTATGTTCAACTCTTTGTGACTCCGTTTCAGATTTTCTTGGCAGAAATACTAGAGCAGTTTGCTATTTCCTTCTCCAGCTCATTTTACAGATGAGGAAACTGAAGCAAAAAGGGTTAAATGACTTGCCCAGTCACACAGCTAGTAAGTATCTGAGGCTGCATTTGAACTTAGGTCTTCCTGACTCCAGCTACTCATTTTACTTCAGCACCTCGCTGCCTTTATTAGACCTTACTATCATTCCCTAAAGCAATCATCCTATATCTCTCCTCCCTTTCTTGGCCAAACTTCTCAAAAAGGTTATCTACCCTCCCTGCCTCCACTTCCTCTCTTCTCACTCTTCAACCTTTTGCAATCTTTTGCAATCTTGGCTTTCAGCCTCATCACTCAACTGAAATTGCTCTCTTCAGAGTTACCAATGATATCTTAATTGTTCTTTCTGATGGTCTTTCCTTAGTCTGAATCGTTCTCAACCTATCTGCTGCATTTGACACTGCTACCCACTGTCTCTTCCTGGATACTCTCTCCTCTCTGGGTTTTGTGACACTACTCTCTCCTTGCTTCCTGCCTGTCTGACCACTTCTCAGTCTCTTTTGTTGGATCATCCTTCACACCACATTCTTAGGTGTGAAGTGACATCTGAACTGTGCTTTGAAGGAAGTCAGAGATTCTGTGGAGGAGAGGTAACAAAGGGGTATATCCCCAATGGGGAGGACCACTTTGCAAAGGAGTGGAGGTGGGAGATGGAATGTCAGGTACAGGGAACAGCTAGCAGGCCAAAGCGCTGGTTACTTCCAAACCACAGAATGAGCCTCAATATCGAATCATATATACCTTTTGTTAGGAAGTTGCATTGAGGATTTATAAAAATTGTCAACCTTTCCCTGTGTTCCTAGATCACAATATATATTACTTTAACTGGTATGGTTCCTGGTTTAAATAATTGCATTGTAGCATCAGACATTATCCAAAATAAAAGACATTCATAATTCATTGTGTAATGTTTTATGGGAGAAAAAAGTACTCTTGAGAGTCATGAACCAATGATTTTCTGTCCCAGGTTATCGATTTGGATCCTAGCTGACCCATGAGTAGGATTCAGGTCTCTCATGGGTTCATGAAATGATTTTGGAAAAGATGGCAATTATATAAATGTTTAATGCTTCTGGAAAAATATACTCCTTGAGTATGAAGGCTACTCTGCAAAGTTCCTAGTTACACTAAGGACATAATAGAGTAGCTGGGTTTTTGTTTGTTTTTGAGATTCAGTCTCCTTATCTCACTCAGGATAGAAGTGCTGAGGCTGCATTCTATTACTAATCATCGTGGAAGCTTTGACCTGTACCTTTTCCCACCTCCTGCACCACCCCTCCCCCAACAGCTAGCAGATCTCCCTGTAAGTGCTGGATTTAGTGTGAGCATCAGATTGGCTTAGCCCTAGGGCAGCTCAGAACTTCCAAACTCAATCAACAAACTAGCCTCAGTCTCACTGGGAGCAGGGGTTATAGGTTTGGGCCAATTAGTAGTTGGTTTAAAAACAAATCTTATTCTGTTGAGTGTTCTGCCTTGTAAAGAGTGGGACTTTCATCTTTTACTTTTGAAACAACTGTGACCACTCAGTGATTGAAAAAGAAAGTTCTATATAAATTTTAGCTGATGTTACTATTTAGGGAGGGGATGTAGCACCTCTGGTATGAGGACTTGCCCAGCCCTTTTCAGGGCTGCTCACCGACCTTTAATGTATACCTGGCACTCAACTCTCACCTATGGCTCCGATGAGCTGTAGCCTGTGCAGTGACCACACCCCAGTAAACTGTCTTGGCAGAATGGCAGAAGGGCTAAACTGGGTTGAGGGTAAATAACAGGCCTCAAACCCAGCTGTGAGTTAGGGGGTGTCTGCCCTAAACATGGAAGACTTTCCCTGGCAGAATGGCTGGATAGGAACAATTTGTTGCAATAGCCATGAAGGCAACTGAAAGCACTTAAAGGCAACTGTGGAGCACTTAAAGCTTGGTCATACATGGAAGAAGCCAAGGTCATCCACTGAATCCCAGGCCGTTTACAGTGGTGCTGACTTTTGTCCTGCCATTGGACTTTGATGATTCTGGAAAAAAGAGTAAGACTGATGGCTTTGTGCAACTCTGCCTCACTTAAACCCAATTCATCTTTGAGTCCAGACATCACTCTTGGTGTCATTGGTCCTCTCCAAAAATGAAGGATAAACAACATTCAGAGACAACATAGCATAATAGGGAGACAGTCTGAGAGTCCGAACTGGGATCAAGTCCTGCCTCAGACACATACTAGCTCCCATTCTCATATGGTTTAAGTGATTCTGGCTCTATCACTTCACATCTTAGTTAGTGTCTGAGGCAACTTGCAAAGATGATGAAATATAAAGAAAGTACCAACCTGCATTGGTAGGAAAGGGTCTTCATTAGGAGCTCCCTATGCCAATGAAATTACAGGTTCTATTCTCATCTTTGTTACTAATAAGTGTGATTTTTTTTGGTGGCAGTCAGGGTTAAGTGACATTCCTAGGGTCACACAGCTAATAAGTGTTTGAGGCTGGATTTGAACTCAGGTCCTCCTGACTCCAGGGTCAGTGTGCTATCCCCTGTGCCCCATAACAATAGTCTTTTTCAAAGTAGGTTAATGCTTTCTATCCTGATTAAGAGGTTACAATGTTTTGACTGGAGCACAGGACCTTCTTTCTAATATAAGTTCTGCCACTACTTAGCCATGGGCTTTGGCCAACTCACCTAACCACTATATCAGTGTTCTTATGTGTAAAATAAGGGGCTTGAATTAGATAAGGGGTTCTTAACCTGGGGTCTATGAACATATATATGTATATATAGATATATAGATATATATAGTGTGTGTGTGCACACACACATACCAAATATATATGTATATATTTGATAACAGTATTTGAATATAACTGGTTTCCTTTATAATTCCTATGCATTTAAAAACATTATTCTGAGAAGGGGTCCATAGGATTCACCAGCCCACCAAAAGAAAGGAGTCCATGTCACAAAAAGGTTAAGAAACTTGGGATTTGATGATCTCTTTTAGTTCTCAAATTATTTCATCCCACATCTGAAAATGCTCTCCCAATTTCCTATATGTACCCAGGTACATAAGTAAGGTGGGTTTAAACAGCTTCCAAATGCTTTCTTTCAGAAACATGAACAAGAGTACTTTGTAATCCACAAATTATGAATACCATATATTCAGAAAGAGTAATGAAGGTACATAGTCATGTGTTCATTATAGACAAATAACAATAAGCACCCATTCTGAGTTAGATACAGTGCTAAATCTCAGGAATACAAATACAAACATGAAATAATCCCTGCCCTTAAGTAACATATTCTACTGTATGAAAAAGATTTAATATTTTTATTTTTTCCCAATTACGTGTAAAAACATTTTCAATATTTTTTTTTGTTTTTTTTTTTTTGAGCTTCAAATTCTCTCCCTCCCCTTGCTTCTCCTTGAGAAGGCAAGCAATTTGATACAGGTTTACTGTATGAAAAATGAAACAATATCTTATGGATTACTCTGTTGCAAATCACTTGAAACATCTCTCCCCTTCCCCTTTCCAGGATTTCATTGGCTTAGGTACAGGGGTGGGGAAAATCCCAGGGAGGAAATTCCTTCCATCCACGCAGAAGGGCACCTACTCTGCTTTTGGAGTCTTTGAGAGTTACCTAGGGGCACTGAAAGCTAAGAGACTTGCCGCAGACCACGCCATGTTGGAGGCTGGCCTTGGGCCTTTGTTCTTGGAGGCCTACTCTCTATGCCTTATTGCCAACACTGCCTTTTGATACGTGTAAGGTAGTAAAATAGAGCTTCTCCAAGAGAACAATTTATATAATAACAACATTGTTATAGAGAATCAACTCTAAAAGCTTTATTAAGAATTCTGGTCAACACAATTACCAACTAGGATTCAGAGGACTCATGATAAAATAGCCTACCCACCTCCTAATAGGTGATGGGCTCAGAATGCAAATTGAGACATTTTTTGGGACAGGGCCCAGTGAGGGAATTTGCCTTGCTTCACTACATATTTGTAACAGAGTATTTTGTTTTTTCTTGCTTTCTCAGTGAGGATGGGGGAATGTGGTGGGGGGGAGAGTAGGCAGATCTTCATTAGAAAAAAAATTTTTTTTAAAATCACAACTCACAAAAATTAATAGAGCCACAAAGCATAACATGCATCATAATGTGGTAAAAGAGCCCTGGATTTAGAACCATGGAAGAGGGCTCTGCTATTAATTTACCTGTTGAATTTTTGGCAATTCCCTTAACCTCTCTGCTTTCATTTGTAAAATGAGGGGAGGGAAGTTGTCTAGTGGACCTTCAGTCCCTTCCAATTCAAAATCTATGATCCTAAGGGAAAAAAAGAGGATAATGGCCAGCTTCATTTAAATTACTTTAGGTCTCTTCATCTTAAAATCACTTCCTCCACCCTGACCAACGTTACCTGCCTCCTTCCCTCATGACATTTGTTCAGTGTAAACCCTGTAGGGGTTCCAACTCAGGCCACTAAATAATGCTGCCTGAGCAAAGTGGGGTGGGTACACAGAATGTTTCTATTAAGAAAACCTAACAAGCCAGAATGATATTGCCCTGTTCTTTTCAAGCTGGAATATATATGTGTTTGTGTGTATGTATATGTGCATATGTATATATGTATATGTGCGTATATATATATATATATACACACATATACACACACACATATATATGTGTGTCTTAAAAGGCTTGTTTAAAAATGAACAATAACAAAAAAAAAACCCAACCCTGAACAAAGAGGAAATATTACTCCAGTAAGAGTTTATGTGCTGGTGGGGATAGGGAAGGTGGGAAATTGTCACATCTGTTCTTGTACTTATAACCTACCAAAGGGTATTCATAACCACCTCCAAGCTTCAAGTTTTTCTCTGTGCCTTGAAGATGAGAGTGAATTCAAACACCACTTTCCAGTACATCTTCCAAGGCTCCGAGAATAAACCAAGGTGGGTCGTTTACTATTTTAAGCCTGACCCTCTGTTGCCTAGCAAAATGCCGATAAGCAGGCCTCTTTCTCCCTCCCCACCCCCACCCTGTAGTAGCTGTTGATGCCCACCCCACCTAACCCCACTTCACTGCCACATTGCTGCCTTTGGCACCTGCCCTCTCCCTGGTTCCCCAACCCCTGGCAGAGATCTGTGTGAGCCAGAAGACAGCTGAAAGGAGAGCCAAGTGTAGAGGTGCATACCAAGTGCCTGGAGCCCCGCCACTGAACAAAGGCAGAATGAAAGTATGTAGTCTAACATCAGGTTGTTCCAATTCTAACACAAGTGTGGAGGGAAGGAGTCCAGGGTTGTGGTCAGAACAGGAGGGGATGGGCACGGTTATTTCTAGTTCTGCTGCTCACTTGCTCATAAATCCAAGTGACTTCTTTCCTTCTCTTAGGTTTGCCCTGTTATTAGAAGATAAGTAGTTAACAACAGCAACAACAACACTCTAAAGTTTGCAAAGTACTTGTGGCAAAACCCAGCAAAACTCTTTGGGAACTTAGATTTTAACAGTTAGCATTTATGTAGGTTAGTGGAGCATTTTATATGTATTATCTCATTTGATCTTCATGACAACCCCTGTGAGGTAGATGCTTTTATTGTCCTCATTTTATAATTGAGAAAACAGACAGAGAATAAATGACTTGTCCAAGTGATGTCTGGGGTAAGATTTGAATTCAGGTCTATTGTGACCCCCAGTTCCTGCTCTAGTTGTTATTCTAACTAGCAGTCCTTGAAAGGTATTTTTGCAGTAGTGAGTTTAAATCTCTTTAGTAAATTTCCTGGGTTTCAACCCAGGAGTTTTCTAAGAAGCACATTGCTTTTAAAATGAAATTTTAAAATAAATTTATTCAAAACTTTGGGAAGACACTGAGTCTTAGATCTGGGATGATTCAAATCTTTGCACAGTTCCAAATTAGAATTATAATTTACAAAGTGGTGATCAGTAACCATACAATTAGGGGCAGTTAGGTGACGCAGTGGATAGAGCGCGGGCCCTGAAGTCAGGAGGACCTGAGTTCAAATCTGGCCTCAGACCAAACACTTGACACTTATTAGCTGTGTGACTCTGGGCAAGTCACCTAACCCCAATTGCCTAAAAAACAAAAACAAAAACAAAAACATACAATTAAGACTTTCTCTGCACATGGACTAAAACCCAAGTGTTGTCATTTTCTTCAGTTTATGAAAAGGATAGTCTTGAATGAATTAGGATTTATTAAGTACTTAAGTGAAGCTAGGTGGCACAGTAGATAGAGTGCTGGGTCTGGAGCCAGGAAAACTCATCTCTCTGAGTTCAAATATGGCCCCACGTACTTCCTAGCTATGTGACCCTGGGCAAGTCACTTTACCATATTTGCCTCAGTTTCCTCATCTGTAAAATGAGCTGGAGAAGGAAATAGCAAATCACTCCAGTATCTTTGCCAAGAAAGCTCCCCAGATGGGGTCATGAAGAATCAGACATGACTGAACAACAACATAAATGCATTTGGGATACAAATACAAAAAGCATGACAGTCCCTGCCCTCAAGGAGCTTACATTCTAATAGAGAGAGGCCACACATATAGAGGAGTGTTGACCCTGAAGGATATTTTAGTCTGGAAAGTTATGAAGCTGTTGAGTAGAGAGTTTAGGGGAATAGATCGACAGACTCTTTCCTGAAGCAATGACAAAGTTGGCTTGATTAGGGTTTCCGAGCTGGAAAGAGAGAACATGATCCACAGAACAGTGTAGCAGATTTAAGTGCAGGGACTGAAGGGGAGTGTGGCTAGAGTCAGGTCTAGCTATAAACAGTTGAGGCAATCAGCAGTCAAGACTGACAGAGGAGGCCTGAGGTGGGAATTCTGGGCATAAAAGACCTAAGTCCTTCTGAACCTAAAGGCACAGTGGGGAGAAGTCAGAGGGGTGAAGTCCACTTGGAGAGGTAAATAAAAGCTACACAAGCAAGATTAGAGACCAAAAGAGCCAGCACTTTCCTCCTCCTCTCCTTCCCCTGCTAACCAAGAGTTGAAATCTCCGTCTACGGTTTTTCCACAGAAGGAATGACCAAGCACAAATACCGAAGAAGAAGGAAGTTGAGAGCCAGAACCAAAATGTTCATCAAAAACAGAAAAGCTAGTCCCTCTGATCCTGTTCCATCACTTCTTCCTCCTTCCCCTCATTCCTGTCCTTCTTCACCTCCAACTCTGCCTCCACCTGAGAGGTAAGCCCTGGTGCAGGGTAGAGGAAATTATAGGTATTTAGTTAGAATTTTGTTTTACTTAGGAGAATGGCCAAAGTTCAAGGCTTTCAGTCTAACTCTGCTAGTCAGTGGGATTGGATAAACCTGCTTGGGGGGTGGGGCATGGATAGAGAGAGAATAAAGCTGACATGTATAAGATGGGAGAAAGGATGCACTCTCAGCTTAAAGACAATTTTGGGAGGGATAGGTGAGCCTTCTAAAATGAAGTACATCTCTTCTCCTTTGTCCTCCCCAGCATCCCCCCTGTCCCCTTGAGACAGCCTCTGTGCCTATTCCATTGCCATGTACAGATAATGGTATCTGTCTTTTTACCTGTAGAGGAAGGGCCCAGCGCTGGCACTCTGCACCCATCATTCTTGCTGTATGATGAGGCTTCCTTGGGTTAGGGGGCAGTTCTGGCAGCATAGCTTTCGGTTTCCTTTTTTTCACCCTATAGGATGATAGATGCCTCTCCCACAAACTCATGTTGTGGTCAAATTTGTCCAACATTAGCCTGGAGCAAAACATTTTCCAGCATGAAAAATCTAATGACATTCCTAGCAGAGAAGTTGTGGTCTTTCTATTGCTGTTGCCAGAGCAATATTACACAGGTATGTATGATTTTGACTGGCTCATTCCTAGTTTTCCCTATATTTGTGTATTCAGGTAAATGATCCTCTGAGATCTTAATCATATGAGATCACAATATGAGCTGTGAAGTTTTAAGGGCATTCAGTTGCAGTATAACATTCAATATGTCAGGCTATTGTCTAGTTTTACTTTTGGCTGCATTATTCAGGCTTCTTTCTTTCTGAACTTCAGAATTTAGAGATGTTGAAAGACCTCCTATTTCCATCCCGTATCTACTTCCGGGAACTCAGCATGATCAGACAGCAGGTTGACAAGCTGGAAAATGAATTCTGCAAGCTCCAGGAAACACTGAAGGTCAGTAACAAGACATATCTAAGACAAAATTTCTGCTGGTTGTTTGCAGAATTAGAGCTATTGTCCCCTCCAGATTTTAGGTAATGGAGAATATCAATACATAGCTATACCCACAGAAGATATTCTATTCAGAGTAAGTAATCTAGTTCAATTTCCATCTTTTTTTTTTAATTTAATAAACATTTATTTTTTTCTTCCCTACCCCACCCCCCATTGGAAGAAAAAAGCAAAACAAAAGTAAAACCTTTGTAAGTAATATGCACAGTCAAACAATACAAAGACCCATATTGGCAATGCCCCAAAATGTGTCTACTGCATATTTAGCCCATCCCTTCTCTGTCAGGTGGTGGGTTGTATCCTTTATCTTCGGTCCTCTGGAATCATGGTTGGCCATGGCATTGATCAGTTATTAAGTCTTACAAATCAATTTCTATCCTATAATTTCCAAATCACAGCCATGCCTGTTGACAGTATGGCTAATGATTGGGCAGTGCCTCAAAGAGGCAGTTGGACAATCAGTCCATATGTAATCGATTTTCAAGCAGATGAGACTTAGCTCTCCTGCTGAAAGGGAGGAGGTGTGACTAACCTCAGTCAGTCAACAACCACAAACATTTATTAAGTGCCTACTGTGATTGAGGAAATGTGTTTTACCATCAGTCACTGGATTGATGAAAATTGTGAAGCCTTTTGATATTCGCCTTTACATGTAAATTGTTCTCCTGGACCTGCTCATTTTCCTTTGTACTGGTTCATACAACTTCCTCAGTTTGTTTGAATTCTTTGTGTTCAACAATCCTTACAGGATAATAATGTTCTATTTCATTCATATTCTATGATTTGTTCAGCCATTCCCCAATTGATGGGTGCTAACTCTTGTTACAGTTTTATTCCATAAAAAGTGCTGCTATGGATATTTTCTGTGTTTTGGGACTGCCTGTCTTCACATACTCCCAAAAATGCTCTTTTGTGATTTTTTTCCTTTCAAGCCTGCGCATGATTTTCATTTTAACTTAATTTCATGCATAAATAAATTGCAAGAGAAGGAGGGAGTTCTGGAGGGTCTATCTCTAGAATTGCCTCCGGGCCTCAAGCCCCAGTCAGAGACAGTCCTGGTCTCAGTGTCAGTCTGACAAATAAATAATTTGCACTCATTGACCTGAGGGAAGCCTCTGCTGTCCGACCACAGTTCCCAGAATTTTTAATTGGAACTGAAAATAGCACATCTCTAAAACGAGGGGGTGGAACCAGATGATGTCTAGGCTTCCCTTTCAGCTTTAATGTTTTCTGGTTCTCTAACAAGGGGCCACATGACATCTCTTTGAAACCATTCCCTGGCTCTTTGTCCTACCCATCCTGGTTAAAATTTTATTAGATATAGTTAAATGATTAGCTTCACTTGGGCATTTAACCATCTCAGCACTAAATGCATAATTAATGGGTTAAGCCATGTCTGCTAATAGCCATTCTTGAGACTTTAATCAAAGCCTCAAATTAGACCAATGTGCCATTCACTTGCCAAATAAAATGAGATAATATTTATAAAGCACTTCAAACAGTACCTGGCACATCACAAGTGCTATGTTAATTCTAGCTATTATATTATTGTTATTGTTATTATTATTATTATTACATTTAACCTCTTTTTCTTTCTGATCTCTCAGACCTCTACCTCCGAGCGTCCTTCTTGCCAGGATTGCCATAAAACATGTCACTTGAGGACTCAACTTCCAGAGGATCTTGCTCAAGCTCAAACCACTGTCAGAGAATTAGCATCCATACTCCCACCTGTGACACTGAAGCCTGTGGTTCTCCTTCCTCCTCTTCCTCCCCCACCTCCTCCACCCCCTCTACCACCTCCACCGCCTCTCCCTCTTCCACTCCACTCAGCACCTTTGTTGCTCAAAAAAGCCGATAGTACCAAAATACTTCAGGTAGGAGGCAATGACAGTGATTTCTGTTTTTCCCAGCAGTGGTTACTGGTGTGATTCATGCTAACTCTTTTGGGCGGGTCACAAAGGACAACACCTTTTTTGGAGAGCTTACTCTTGGTTCAAGATTCTCTAGCTTTTTGGATTCAGGAACTTGATTTTTTCAGTGTCTATTTAGAGGTGATCACACACCCTGAAGTTTTGATCCACATGTTTCTTGCCCTTACAAACCAAAATGCCAATTTATTTATACCTGGAGAAACAGAACTGCAGAGTCGAATGGAATAATTCTGTTGATTGGTTCCTACATTCTCTCCCCAGGAGAAAAGCCCACTTAAGAACCAAATTAATATTGGACTTTTGCCAGGTAATGACAGAGTGGGAATAAAGAGAGCTAGATATTAAGGAATAAATGTTGTCAAGCTATGATAATCTGATGTACCCTCCTTCACCATAGTGACTTAGCTGTCGAGCCAAATAGACTGTTCAGAGGTAGTGTGGCATAGTATAATGATTACTATATTGGAAATTGAATTTTCATGACTAGAAATGAGTTCTAGGCCTAGTTCTGTCATTTGTGACCTAAAACTAATAATTTAGTCTTTCTCTCCCTTTTTCCCCATTTATCAAATGACAACATCTGCTTTATTTACCTTTCAGGATTCTATTGATCAAATGAGATAATGTATGTAAGAAGTCTTTATAAATTTGTTAATGTTTTATTGATACTTTAAAAAAATTGGTATTCTCCAATATATTCTTCCCTCCCAATGAAACTCTCCATCATAACAAGGAAAAACAGTTATAAGACACATTCACTTTATTCTTCACTTTTTTTGGCAGTGTATACAACGTTCCACATCTGTAGTCCCACCTCCCTACAGAGAGGAAAGAATTGTGTGAAAATTTTTTTTAAGGGGCTGTAGAAATTAAGGTATCATCTGCTAGAATGTAAGTTCCTTAAGGTTAGGGATTGTATCCTACTGATTTTTATATTCCCACATTGCCTAGCACAGTGCTTGTACAGTGGAAAGAACACTGAATCAGCAGTCAGATGGCCTGGGTTCAAATCTCACCTCTGATGATTACTAATAGATATAACCCTGAGAAAGTCACTTAACTTCTCTGGCCTCAGTTTACTTATTTGTAAAATGAGGAGATTGGACTAGATAGTCTCTAGTCTTGCAGCTCTAAGTCTATGATCCTTTGATTGGAAATGCCCTTTTAAAGTTTTACCTAGTGGTGACCCCAATGGATTCAAGCTAATTCTGTCACTTCTGTAATCTAGCTAGCACATTATGGGTTAAATGGCTTTGAATTAATAGCCTTAGAACCAAGCCATCATTTGTGATTTTTATTCCTTAGGAAAATTCATTCTGAGTTTGAAACCCTTCTGAAACACAACATAACCTATTTGGGGCTTCCCAGCTTCTTGTATAAGAAAACAGTTGGGGGAGATCCAGCAAAGTCTACAAAGACAGAAACTGTTTTTCTTCTGGTTTTTGTTCTAGGATACTTCTTCTTTCCACTCTTTATTTTCTAATTATGTGTCTGTATTATGGGAATAAAATAGAATTTACTTGATTTTTTCCCCTCCTTCCCCCCTCTCCCCTTCTCCTTCTGTCTCTCTCCCTCCCTTCCTTCCCCCTTCTCCATCTCTGTTTCTGTCTTTCCTCTCCTTTCTCTTTATTTCTCTCCATCTCTCTTGCTTCTTTGTCTCTCTTTCTTCTCTCTGTATTTTTCCCTCACCCCCTCTCCTCTTCTCCCTCTCTCTCTGTCTCCTCACTCTCCCTCCCTCTCTATCTCTCCCTTTCCCACCCCCTTCTCTCCCTCTCTTTCTTCCCTCTTCTCTATATCTCTTTCGCTCTTTCTTTCTCTCCTCTTTTCCTTCTCTGTCTCTCTCCTCTCTGTCTCTCTGTATCTTTCTCCCTTTCCCCCCTCTTTCTCCTTTCCCCCTTTTCTCTGTCTCTCTCTGTCTGACTGATTCACTCTCTCCTTATCCCATATCTTCTGTCTCTATCCCTTTCACCTTCTCCTCCCTCTCTCTCTCTCTCCTCTCTCTGTGTTTCTTCCTTTTCTGCCTCTCCCTTCTTCCTCTCCCTCTCTGTCTCTCCCTTTCCTTCCCTTTTCTCTCCCCTACCTCTGTATCTTTCTCCCCACCTCTCTCCCTCCCTTTCCCTCTCCCTTTCTTTTTTTCTCTCTCTCTCCCTCCTTCTCTTTCTCTCACTGTCTTTCCATCTCTCCCCATCTCCTCCTGTCTCTCTCTCTCTTTCTCTTTCCCTCCCTCTCTCTTTCTGTGTCTTTGTGTCTCTCACTTTCTAACCATTGCTCAGTGATTCCTATTCAATCCGCTGCTTCCTAATTGCAAATGTTCTTGGTTTACTGTGACCTCAGATGCTTCTCTGGGTCAAATGCCTGTCATTGTTGTGACACAGTGTGCTATAGAGACAATGCAGGCAGTTTCCTAGATAATTGAGGCAAAATCCCAGATTTGATTGGAATGATCAGAATTATGGCTCTAGCCTCCAGCTACTTTTTTTCTTGTGACTTCTGGGGAAATGTTGTCCTGTGCATTCCACCTACCATTGGAGCCTTGGAATCAGATCGGTACCTTTTCAAATGCCTTACTGTCATTCACTTTGGCATCAAGTCAAGTGAGCATCTCATCCTTGGTCAAGCAGCTGTGTGACCCTGGATAAATCACTAACCCTGTTAGCCTCAGAATTAACATGAACTCCTGCTTCCGTCTTGCTACTGAGATGTGACACAGTCCTAAAAAACCATCTGCGTATGGCTTCTACTTGTTTTTGGCAAATCAGCCCCTTTACTTGTGTTTTTAGGCTGCACCATTAAAACAAGATGTGCCCATGCATATAACTGTTAAAGATCTGCTTACTGTGAAGTTAAAGAAGACACAGAGTTCTACCCATAGGAGTAAGGTAAAGTAGCAGAGACCACATGTACCGCCCCCTCTTTCCACACACACACACACACACACACACACACACACACACACACACACACACACACACACACACAGCTTCTGCTCTCAATCCAGCCGTCACTGGATTAAAAATCAACCAAGCTTTCCTTATCCGTTGAAGGCATCAAGGGAAAAGTATTTTGTGTTTAATCTCAGTAGTCTGAATCTCTTCATAGAAACTATTTAGTTAACATACTAACTTAAAATACAATTTTATCCATCAAGTATTAGATTGATTGTGCTGAAATGACCAAAGCTGCACTGCTCTACATTCAGGCATGGGGTAAAAATTGATTAGTGAGGTAATTGATGCACCTCATACAGAATAGATCTACAATGACAATTTTGTTCTGATATATTTAAAATTAGCAAGATTATCTTTCAACATGTTGATGGTAATTTTTCCTTTTGCATTTGAAGATTCTGTCATCACCGAAGGAACGAAAGCCACTGGTTACAGTCTCTGATCTTCAGAGTATCTCCCTGAAACCTCAGTCCAAATTTCCAGCAACTCACATCACAAATGTGATATTGTAAGAACCTGGGCAATTTTATATTGTTATTTTTTTTTCTTCTAATCAATGGCTTCTTTGGGATATAAGCCCAGTAATGAAATCTCTGGTTCAAAGGATATGTACATTTTAATCACTTTATTTACTTATCCAAATTGCTTTCCAAAATGGTTGTACAACTTTACAGCGCCACCACAATGTATTAGTATGCCTATCTTTCCACAACCCCTCCAACATTGATTGTTGCCATATTTTTTGCCAATTTGCAGAATGTGTAGTGAAACATAAGGGTTGTTTTGATTTGCATTTCTTTTGTTATTAGTGATTTGGAATATTTGCTTCATGTAGTTGTGAATACTTTGCAGTTCTTTTGAGAACTCTTTGTTTATATCCTTTGACCATTTATCTATTGGGAAATGGCTATTAGTCTCATTTGTGTTTATTAGTTGTTTACATATCTTGGATGTCAAATCCTTATCAGAGAAATTTAATACAAAGATTTTTCCCAGTTGACCACTTCCCTTCTTATCCTATATACACTAATATTGTCTGTGCAGAAGCTTTTCAATTTCAAGGCATCAAAGTTATCTGTCTTATCTCTTGTGATTGCCTCTATCTCTTGTTTAGTTAAGAATATATCCTTACCCATAGTTGTAAGAGGTATATGATCTGTTTCTCTTCTAATTTTTTTAGAGTGTGATCTTTAATATTACGGTCATGTATCATTTAGAATGTACTGTGGTGTTGTGGTGTAAGGTGTTGGTCTAAGCCTAATTTCTGCCAGACTGCTTTCCAGTTTTCCCAGCAAATTGTTACTTTTTTAATAACAAAAAGCACCACATTTTTGAAAAAGTTGTTCTACAAAAGGCAGAAGAAAAAATTATTTTGGACACAATTTATTAGACCCTAACCACTAAGACTTTATTTTACCAGCACTCCCAGAAAAGGCCAAGTGGATCTGAGGAAACTTCTTAGGAAAGTCAACATAGATAGGTAACATACCTCATTATTTCTTTATGCATTTTAAATACATATGAAAAGCAGATTAAAAAATAGCTTTTAATGTTTTCAATACTTTTCCTTTGCAGGAGCCCAGGAGGAACCCCTCTCATCAATAAAGAAAATATGGAAACTGGAACAGGGTTGACCCCAATAATGACCAAGGCCTTACGTCGAAAGTTTCAGGCAAGCTTTTGGAAATGTTCATTCTTCCCCCTTTTCTATTAAACTCATTTCCTTAGATTTATAATCCATTGAGCATTTTCCAAACAGTACCTTTGCCAACCTCTAGGCCCCTATGTAGGATTTTCATGTCTTCAGATGGTCAGTAAGAAGGAGGTACACAATAAATACTCAGTAAATACCTATTGAATAAAATAACCTCCCCCCCCAAAAAAAGAAAGAAATTCAGGAGAATAGGAATAGAACAACTTAAATATTCATTTCAGCCAATGCTCATGATGTGCCCACTGTGAGTGCTGGACTTTGAGTCAAGAAGGTCTAATTTCAGTTCTTGCCTCTGACACTTAATAGCTGTTAGTTATGTACATGATGTCTACTCTATTAAAAAGTAAGGTCCTTGAAGGCAAAGATTGTTTTTTGCCTTTTTTAAAATCTCCCCAGCACTCAGCAACATGCCTCACACACAGTAAGCACTTAATAATGCTTGTGGATTGACTGGTATTAGGTGTAAGACATTGTACTAGGTTTTAAGGATACAGAGAGTATAATGACATACATGGGCCTTGCTCTTAAAGATCTTATAGTATAAAGGGTGATGATGATTGTGTATTTGTGTTTGACTCTTTGTGATCCCATTGGGGTTTTCTTGGCAAAGATACTGAATTGGTTTGCCATTGCCTTCTCCAAATCATTTTACAGATGAGGAACTGAGGCAAACAGGGTTAGTGATTTACCCAGGGTCACACAGCTAGTAAGTATTTGGAGCCAAATTTGAACTCAGGAAGATGAATTTTCTTGACTGTAGGCTCCACAGTCTATGCACTGCACCACATAGTGGCTTCTAAGGTAGGACGGAGGGAGGACAAATAACTTCAAGCAGCATTTATTAAATGCCTATTATCTACCTAGGCGTGGTCGATACAAAGACAAAAAAAAAACCAGATCTCTGCCTTTGAGGAACTTACATGTACATAGAAAATAAAATACAAAATATGTACAAAATAATTTCCATAGGGATTTCATTAGCAGTTTTGATACAATGGAGACTGAAAAGTGTGAAGGATGCTGAGAGAAGAGTGCTATAAGAAATCTGATGGTAAAGAGATCATTTTCACCTAAGAAGGCTTAGGGAAAGTTAGAGAATGGAACAAATCATTCAAGTAAGATATAAATGATGCATAAATGTTTGTGCAAATACAGAGTGTCCCAAAAGTCTGCGTACAGTTGTAAACTTTAGTAGCTTAAAACTTAAAACTGCACTGAGGCTTTTAGGACATTCTTGTCCTTGTCAGTCTTTATCCAAACAAAACAAATTGGTTTTAGAAAAAAAAGTAGCGGAGATGAGTCCAGAGATATCCCAGAGATAAAACATCTTGCCTATTGTCTCTTAAAACAATCCTCGTTCTCTAGAAATTATCCATGAATATGGTCTTAGAAGTAAATCATGGTAGTTTTTTCCCCCAAAGGATTATTTTCATTTTATTAGATATATATGATAGAGATCCTATCTCTTTTACCTAAGATTACTAAAAATCACTTGTTCCAGTCATAAGAGTTTAATCAGCTGCATAGTAAGCAAACACTGATAAAAGAAGACTTTTTGAAGCTAAGATCTGATTATATAATGACTTTTTTAGATGGGATCAGTTAAATGGGTCATTTAGTCATTAGGAATTCAATAGCAGATTGTGATATAGCATGGTGCTGTAGAAAGGTTTTGGAGGCAGGACCTGACCTGGAATCCTAGTTCTACTGGCTGTTTGATCTTGGGCAAGTTATTTCCCCTATCTGGGCCTCAGTTACTTGATCTGTAAAATGGTGAGGGGTGGACTTGATCTCTTAGACTCTGTCTAGCTCTAAATCCTGTGACTTTTTGAGTTCTCAAAAATCCCCTTGTTGATCTTAAAACCTGCTGAACATGAGTGAATTCTGCTAATGCCAGCTGGATACGTTTTAGGACACTATCTCTTTCTTCCTAAAGAAGTACTGTTTTATCTAGCAGCATAAATCAAATTCTAATTGGTACTTTGTTTTAATTTCCACAGCTGGCTCACCCAAAGAGCCCATCCCAAGCTCCATTACTTTCTGCAAACAGCTTTGAGGAATAAAATTGATGTCAATCATGGATCATGTTTGAAGATGAAATATTAAATAGATGTACTCAAATGTCATTTTTAAGGATTCCCAAACCCCATAATTCATCCATTGTGTGTCTACACAGCAAAAAATATAGATCTAAACATTGTTTACTTGTTTCAATTAGTAAACATGTCTAAATAGCCTATTAGTTTTTTTGCCCTTGGTTGCCTAGATGATCACACTTAATTAAGTATCTGTCATATCTTTTCTCTAATTTGTCATGATAGGATATTTTGAATGACTGACTTAGATCTCATTCATTTTAAGAACAGTCATTTGTATTTGCTACATTTGCCACCCAACAAATAAATAGACAATAGCGGTTGCAGCCATACCTATCTTTATCTAAACAAGTAAGAGATAGGAGCCTGATGGCTACCTAAAAGGTACAACACACTTCTTCCACTATATTGTGTAGTCATTTCTAGCTCACCATCATGCCCTAGTAGCCCCTTACTTTTCATATACTGTATTCAAGAAGCCAAGGGGAAGTTTCATGGACAGCCCCAATAAGTACTATGCTTCTTCTACTCTACCTCCTCCCAATGGCTGCATGAGCTCTAAAGTTGGCTCTGGGCACAAGGACCATTCTTTTGTACTTCTAGCTATAGAGCAGAGGGAGCTGTCATTAAGTACAAAACCAGGTCTGGGGCTGTTCAAGAAATTCATCTGCTACTTTAAGAATGAGGACAACAGTCAATGAATGAGGCAGTGAGGATAGCAAGGGTAGGAAGCACAGGATCACAAAACCTCAATAAGCTTACTATCTTTCTGGGAAAAACTGTAATATGAGACAAATACAGGATCCTTGGAGAGTTCCTAAGCCAAAAATCTAGTTTAGGAAGTTTCCTAAAATATCTAGTAATGTTCAAACCTTGGTCTAAGTACAATGGCCCTAGGAAATCCCCATCTGAGTTCCGAGGCTGTCTATTCCACCTAGGCCCTTTATTAGACAATCATATTTTTGAGATACACAAACAGGTGTCTTTAACACCCCCAATGGTAAATACAGAAATAATAGTAAGACACACATGCCAAAAATGAAATGTACTAGAAAAAAACAACAACAACCTGTTGACTGTTCTTGTAAAAGTCAAGAACTAAGGGAATGCTCCTGGAGGAAGACAGTTCATTTCTTGTTGCAGAATGGTATTTTGCAAGGCATAAATGAAGTTTACAATAGCTCTACTCTGTACTGTGTTCACTTTACAAATAACTTGATAATTCACAAACGATGAATACTGTTGTACCTCTTTGGTTACCAAAAAATTGAAAAGGTTCTATAATAGGTATTCAGAGGGAAGGTTTTATAGGCATCTGATAACTATATAGGTATATGCAAATTATATATTTGTAAAGCTGCTACTGCCATCATACCAGTATTAAGAAATATTACATGCTCCCCAGGTTTACTTTTAGCTTTTACTAAGCTCTTATCACAGCTTGCTTTGTATTTTTCATAATTCTGTAAACCTAGGGCTCCTTAAAACCACTATGTAGTGTATGCTTTGTTATTAAGATTGAGTGATAACAAAATCAGGCCAACAATTCTGGGGCCACTTAGCTATTTTTAACAATAAAATTTTTATAATAAATGATGGACCTCTGGTTTTTCCCCTTATTTGACTTATACTGCACTCTGAGGATTCATGCTGTAATTATAAGGAGGTAGTACACATTTTTTTCAGGGCTTTAAACAAAACCCAAAGGATTGTAGAGGTATTTGAAATTACAAACATTAGTACTGTATCTCATTGGGAAGTTTCCTACATTGGTTAGGTACTAATTGATATAGGACTGGCTATTATTAATAATTGATATGAATTGCTTTTAATTTTCTAGGATCAAATTCAGCCTCCTGAATCCTACTTGGGTACATTAAGGTGACTGGAAGTGTAACTATTGAAAATAAGTCAGTCATAGTATTTGCTACTTCATTTTGGAAACTAGTAAAATACTTATGTTGGTCTTTGCATAATGTGTTGTATTTCAAGTTAAGCACTGATATTTAATTCAATTCATTGTCTCCCATGTGAGGAATGTTGAGCAGTATTGCAACAGCCTAAATATGTATTTTTAAAATTTTTTAAATTTATTTCATTAAATACTTCCCAAATACATGTAAAAGATATTTTAACATTCTTTTTTTTTTAAATTTTGAGTTCCGAATTCTCTTCCTCCTGCCCCCTCTGATACATTGAGAAGGCAAGCAATATATCAGTTATACATGTGAAATCATACAAAACATATTTCTATATTAGTCATGTTGTAAAAGGAAAGACACACAAACACAAAGTAAATAAAGTATGCTTCAATCTGTACTCAGAATTCATCAGTTCTCTCTCTGAAAGTGGATAACATTTTTCATCATGGGTCCTCTGGAATTGTCTTGAATCATTGTCTTGATCAGAGTAGCTAACTCTTTCACAGTTGATCATCCTTACAATATTACTGTTACTATGTACAATGTTCTCCTGGTTCTGCTCTTTACTCTGCTTCAGTTCATTTAAGTCTTCCCAGGTTTTTCTGAAACTATCCTGCTCATCATTTCTTTTAGCACACTAGTATTCCAGCACAATCATATACCTCAACGTGTTTATCCATTTCCCAATTGATGGGCATCCCTTCGATTTCCAATTCTTTGCCACCACAAAAAATTTGTGGTAAAGATTTGTTGAGGAAACTTAAGTGGGTAACTTCTAAATTTGTTCTAATGGGTAGAATTAAGGTAAAAAAGAGATAATTTTTTAAATGATCAGAAAGAATAGAATATGGACTTCACATTTCAATCCTCCCATCATTCATAGCAGGAGAAAGAGAAGAAAAACAATCAAAGAAGTAAATAAAACTTCTAGTTTCCTTATTTGTATTAGAAAACTCACCCTGAATGCTAAAAATTGAATTAAACATTAGGTTAATGACCTTACCCTGGCATTAATCATTAGACATTTCCTGTATGTTCACTAAATATTAATGGTGTATTCCATCTCTTAACTGATGGAAATCATAGGATCATAAATTTAGAGATGGAAGATACCTGAAAGCTCATCTACTCTACTTCATGTCTAACTGTGTAATCCTATTATCCTGCATTTTGCAGATGAGGAAATTGAGGCTTAGAGAAATTAACTAATTTGCTCAAGTTCACATAAATCCAGCATTCTTTTCACTACAGCAATCATTTTCTAAAAATAAATTTTGTTATTAATCTAATGGGAGCAGCGTGGAATGAGATATGATTTTTTTAGAAAGATCTCTTAATTGCCATATCTAAAGCCTTTTCTAAATTCCTGACCTCTGACACTTTTGATTATCTTTTCCTCGATACTCTCTCCTTTTTAGGTTTCATCACTGCTCTCTTCTGGTTTTCCTCCTACCTATCTGACTGTTCTTCAATCTCTTTTGCTCTATTTTTTCATCCAGGTCATTCCCACTAACCATGGACGTCTCCTGATACTCTGTCTTAGGCCTTTTTCTCTTTTCCCTCTATTCTACCTCACTTTGTGATTTCATCAGCTCTTATAAATTTAATTATCATCTCTCTGCAGATGATTCCCAGATCTACATATCTAGCCTTGGTCTCTCTCCTAAAGTTCAGTTCTGCATCAACTGCCTTTTGGACATATTGAATTGGATGTCCCACAGGCTTATTAAACTCAACAGAACTCATTATCTTTTCCATCAAATTCTCCCCTCTTCCCAGCTTTTCTGTTGTGAGCATCATGATTCTCCCTGTCACCCAGGCTTGCAACCTTAATGTCATTTTCAATTTCTTACTATCCTTCACCCCACATATCAATCTTTTGTCAAATCTTATCATTTCTATCTTTACAACATCTCTTGAATATGTCCCCTTCTTTCCATGCACATAACTACTGTCACACAAGTATACCCAAGTACATTATCTCTTTCCTGTATTATTGCAACAGCTTCCTAATTGGTATTTCTGCTTAAAGTCTCCCCTATGCAATCCATCCTTGACTCAATTACCAATGTGATTTCCCTCAAGTACACATCTGACCATTTCAATCCCTATTTAAACTCCAGTGGCTCCCTTCTACCTCTAGTATCAAATATGAAGTCCCCTATTTGGCATTTTTAACTTGGCCCTTTCCTACCTTTTCAATATTTTTGCATATTATACCTCTCCACACATTCTAGGATCTAGCAACAATAGGTCTACTTGCTGTTTTTCAAAAATGACACTCCATCTCCATCTTATTGAGGCTAGCTGTGTGTCAGGACAAGTCAGTTTGTCCTTTTGGGGACAAACGGGGATAATAACACCTACCTCACAGGGTCGTTGTGGACAGAGATGGGCCTGGAAAAGGGAGGACCAGTATTCAAACACTTTTAGACACTTACTAGCAGTGTGGCCTTGGGCAAATCAGTTAATGTCTGTTTGCCTCAGTTTCCTCATCTGTAAAAAGTGGATAATAACACCTAGCTTCCAGGGTTGTTTGGAGGGTCGAATGAGACAAATATTTGCAAAGCGCTTAGTACAGTGCCTGGCGCATAGTAAGCACTATATAAATTTTAGCTGTTAGTATAATGTGGGTAATGCTTTGTAAACTAAAATTAGCTCTAAGCGTCATCTTCATCATCGTTATCATCTTCATCTCCATCATCATCACCATCATTTCTCCCAAAGGCTGCTTTTCTTGGTTTAGGATAGAGATTAACTAAGGCAAACTCCCCGGGAATGAATGGTCACAGTCACATTCCCAGCAGTCCAGGAGGGGAAATGGGCTTCCCTAATTGACAGCCGAAAGGCGAATGAAAGGGAACAGAAATCCTCAACGCAGAAGTTGGGGCATTTTTAATAAAAAAAAAAAAAAGAAAAAAAAAAAAGGAAGAAAATAGGTGATAAAGAGCAGCTGGGGAGGTCAATGGAGGACGGACCGGAAGTAGGGTTGACAGCACTCTGGGTGCCGGAAGGGTGTCCAGGGCGGACCGGCACCGGAAGGAGCAGGCGAGCGGCGGGGCATCATGGCGGGCCCGGTCAGCCTGCGAGAGCTGCTGCTCGGGGCAGCGGCGGGGGCCGGCGCTGCGAGCCCCGCAGGGTCGCCGGCGGAGGGCAGCGGCGGCGGGGCGGGCGGGGCGGAGCCGCCGTGGCGGGAGGATGAGATCTGCGTGGTGGGAATCTTCGGCAAGACGGCGCTGCGCCTCAGCTCCGAGAAGTTCTCGCTGGTGAACACCGTGTGCGACCGGCAGGTCTTCCCCCTGTTTCGCTGCCAGGACCCGGCGGAACCAGGGCCCGGGGCGGGCGCCGAGACCGGAGCCGTGGGGGAGGCCGGCGGAGCCGGGGACGCCGGGGCGGGCGGCGGGGAGTCGGCGCGGGCGAGCGTGGCAGCCCCAGAAGCGGCCAAGGAAGACCCGACGTCCAAGGACTACAGCCTCCTCCAGGCCTACTACAACCAGGAAAGCAAAGTCCTGTACCTGCTGCTCACGTCCATCTGTGATAACTCGCAGCTGCTCCGAGCCTGCCGCGCCCTGCAGAGCGGGGAGGTGGGAGGGGGCCTGTCCTCCCTGCCGCACGCCGAAGCCCACGAGTTCTGGAAGCACCAAGAGAAGCTTCAGTGCCTCAGCCTCCTCTACCTTTTCTCCGTCTGTCACATCCTTCTCTTGGTCCATCCTACCTGCTCCTTTGATATCACTTACGACCGAGTCTTTAGAGCTCTGGATGGGCTGAGGCAGAAGGTGCTGCCCCTCCTCAAGAGTGCTATCAAGGACTGCCCAGTGGGCAAAGACTGGAAGCTAAATTGCCGGCCTTGCCCACCCAGACTCCTCTTTCTCTTTCAACTCAATGGGGCTCTTAAGGTGGACCCTCCTCGGAACCAAGACCCCGCCCATCCAGATAAGCCCAAGAAGCACTCTCCCAAAAGGAGGCTCCAGCATGCCTTAGAGGACCAGATCTACCGCATCTTTCGGAAGAGTCGTGTCCTGACCAATCAGAGTATCAACTGTCTCTTCACCGTTCCTGCCAACCAGGCTTTTGTGTACATTGTCCCTGGAGGGCAGGAGGAAGACCCAGTAGGCATGTTGCTGGACCAGCTTCGGAGCCACTGCACTGTGAAAGACCCAGAGTCCCTGTTGGTTCCTGCACCCCTTTCTGGACCTAGGCGATACCAGGTGATGAGACAGCACAGTCGCCAACAGCTTTCCTTCCATATAGAGAACAGCAGCAGCTCCAGCTCTTCTTCAGGCCAGCTTGTGGATTTCACCCTCCGAGAGTTTCTGTGGCAGCATGTTGAGCTGGTACTAAGCAAGAAGGGTTTTGATGACAGTGTGGGCAGGAACCCACAGCCTTCCCACTTTGAACTCCCTACCTATCAGAAGTGGATTGCAGCTGCTTCAAAATTATATGAAGTAGCCATTGATGGGAAAGAGGAAGACCCTGCTTCTCCCACAGGAGAAATAACCTCTAAGATTTTAAACAGTATCAAAGTTCTGGAGGGGTTTTTGGATATTGACACAAAATTCTCAGAAAACCGTTGTCAGAAAGCATTGCCCATGGCTCACAGTGCCTACCAGTCCAATCTGCCCCATAATTACACAATGACTGTCCATAAGAATCAGCTTGCCCAGGCTCTTCGGGTATA